GTTGACTTTTTTTGCTGTTTCCTGTGCTGTACATGTCGCCATCATAAAAAAAAAAAACATTTTAAGGATTACACTTAATACAAAAAAGTCAAATATCCAGTCAATGTTTCAGTAGTTATTCACCTTTTACAATTTGTACATACAACATTATTGCTATGGTTTGTTCGTTTTTAAAATTTTGGCACAAAGCTACGCAAGGGTTATATGCCCGTTCCATTATTGTTGCTAAGGAAATAGTAAAATTGATTAATTTTTGAACTAAAAGTTTTACCGCCTTCTCCACTGAAAAGTAAGTAAGTTTTGCCTTGAAATGGGGTTTACTATACTAATGTACTGAAAAAACGAGTTTCAAAGATTTATTTTAGGTAGCAAGCAAGTCCAAGTGTTAAGAGACCCGAGACTTCTGTGACTGAAGGTGCTCGTTTATTTAAGCCAAAAAGTTGGCTTTGGACCTATTATCTTTGTGCAGCCCCCCCCCCCCCCCAGTGGCACAGCGGTATGTCTGCGGGCATAACAACGCTAGAAACCGGGTTTCCATACCCATGACGAGCAGATCACAGATAGCCCATTGTGCTTAACGTCAAACAAATATCTCTGTGCAGCTTATAAATCGAAAATCAAAAGACTTATTTTTGGTAACAGGTCCAAATTGTAGAGTTCAGACCTTCGAGACTTTTGTGATTGAAGGTGTTCGTATTATTAAGTCTAACAAGTTGGCTTTAGACCTATTATATATTCGTACGATTAGTCCTAACTATACTCAATATAACACATTTAGCATTTATAAGAGTTGTGGTGGAAACTGAATAGTTGTATTCGTTGTTAAAAAAGATTAAACACGACCCATTTCTCCAGATATCATAATTGGTTTTTATTTCAGCCAAAGTTTCGTCATTACGGCTTAATCGGGGCAAACAAGACGCTTGCTAACTGATTGAGGGTTATACAGAAGTTTTAAAAATAATTAGAATTTGTGTAATGAGGTGGATTTCACGCGAAAATATACGAACATAATTGTTGTAAAATTATATTGTTGCACCTTGTGAAATTGAAAGTACATTCAAACAGATAAAAATATACTATTTTAAACACACATAATATACTTTACTATACTAACTAGCGTATAGCCCGTCAAAAATGACAGGGAAAGTACAACCACACCCACCCCATAGTATACACTAACCTTACATTTCATAGCTAACTGAAATAAATAAATTTTGCGAAATCAAGGTTGACCAACAAAGAGGCAGAAAAGTGCAGTCGAGGCAGTCAAACGTCAATAAATTGTTTTGTGAGCCAATCAAAATTAAGATCATTCATGAAATGAATTCGTGGCATATTCATGGAATCATTATTGGTAAAAAATCAGTTAGATTAACAACTTCTAATATATAGAAAAGCCAGTGCATTTTGGTAACAGTACGTTCCAACAGTGGCTTTTATGTCATGGTGCTTAGCGACATAAGTATAACTTAATATTGTTGTTAGTCTATGTACTGAAAGTATAAAATGAAAAGTATAGACAACAAAACTGGAAAAATATTTGTTGATTTCTTAACTTAGAGTCCCCGTTGATTAAATAGATTTTTTTTTTACTAAAAACGATGGTGATATTACAGAAGGTAGCTTAATTTAGAAACGATATAAGTT